GGGTGGGTGGATGGATGGACTGGCAGATGAGTACCTAAGCAGATGAATGGATGGGTGAGTAGATGAATGGAGGGAAGGAGAAGCAGGTGGAGAGGGAATTGAGGCATTAGAGGAGATGGCTGGTAGATGGCTGTCCATTGCCTGATGGATCATGGTATTTTGTCCTCTGCTTCAGCTCCCATCATCTAGGCATGGATTCTCTGCTGCTTTCCCTCTCAATCCTTCCCACCTCTGACCATTCCCCTCCTCTTCTTCCTGCACACAGCCTTGGCCCCTCATAGTCTCTGGTCTCCAGCTGTCCTGTACAGTTGCACTCCCCACATTGGTCTTTCAAATGTGTGTCCCTCCAGCCCTCCGTGGCTCCCACCGCCACCTCCTGAGAGGGCCTCTGTGCTTGCCCCAACACTGAAGCCCCTCCGATTCTGGCCCTGCTGGTCTCCACCAGGACCGCCCAGGGTTCCTGTACCAGCCGTCCGCACACCCCCAGGGCCTCCCCAGGGCATGAATGTGTGGCCCTTACACTTGCCCTTGCCCCTAGCTTGACTCTCTTCGCCAAAATCTGCGAGAAGACGGTGCTGAAGCGGGTGCTCAAGGAGTTGTGGAAGCTGGTCATGAACACCATGGAGAAGGCCATCGTCCTGCCACCGCTTACCGACCAGACGGTGAGCCCCACAGGCAGCCAGTGGGACCCTGAGACCCTCCTGTGACAGTCCGGCCTCCGGACTGGGGGTCAGGTCAAAGGCCTTGGGGTACAGAGAGGGCGTCCAGGGGAAAGGGCCACCAGAGGTCATCGGAAGGGCAGCAAGGTCATTCTTGGGCCAAGGGTCATCAGAGGGCAGCCAGGCATGGTGGCGCACGCCTGTAATCCCAGCATGTGGGAGGCTGAGGCAGGAGGACTGCTGTGAGTTTGAGGCCAGCCTGGGCTACGGAGCAGATCTTGTCTCCAAAAAGCAAAACAAACCAAAAAATGGATCATCAGTGGGTGAAAGGGTCATTCATGGCTCAAGGTCACTCAGGGTCAGTGGTCTGGGACCACTCTGAGACCAAAGAGTCAGTAGTCAGGAGACTGATAGGAGACACAGAGTCTGCCACACCTGGACCCAGAGAGCACCCAGAAAACAGGTCAGCTTGGGGACCAGGGCCATCCAGACTCCGGGGTCAGCAGGCTCCTCAGAGAGTTTGGGGGTCATTCAAGAGGCAAGGAGGGGAGACACTTCAGTGTCAAGATCAGAGGGTGCCTGGAGGTCAGCCAGGGGTCACGGAGGGCGGAGAAGTGGGGCAGCAGCCAGTGCTCTCCCAAGACCCTTGGAGGTCAGGCCGGCCATGGTCCTGGCAATGGCAGTGGCGGGGCAGAAGGGCGCTCCCGGGTGGCTGCGGAGTGTGGCAGGCACAGAAGGGGCCTCCCCTGGGCAGGGCAGGGACGGGCAGCGCAGGGCGGGGCCGGGCCGGGTCGGGCTGTCTGCTCCTCCTGCCATGCCCGCCCTCCCTGTGCCCTGACACTCATGGTGCCTTATTCCCCCTCCCTGCCGCCGCCCCACGGCTGACAGATGATCGTAAGTAGAGGCCCGTCTGTCCGTCTGTCTGTCCGTCTGTCCGTCTGTCCGTCTGTCTGTCTGTCTGTCCGTCCGTCTGTCCGCGTCCATTGCTGTGTCTGGACCCGGCCCGCCCCTGGCTGTGCCCCGCCCCCACTGTCCTACCTCCCGCCTCCCTGCGCTACGTGTCGGGGGCGGGGACCGGGAGGGCGGGGCCTGGAGGGCGGGTCACACCCACTCCCCGCCCCTTTGCACAGATTGGTCCCTTCCCCTTGCTCAGCGCCACCGGGCCCCTCCCACCCAGGCAGGGCTTCCACACCGAGGGGCCCCACCAGGCCCTGGCCCGCCCTCCCTGTGGGCGCTGCAGATTCATTCCCGCCCTCTGTCCCCGCCCGCTGCCCGGGGAGGGGAGAGGACAGGTGGAAGCCACGCTATCAGGTAGACGTGGGGTCAAATCCTAGCCCAGCTGCGCTCTCTCTCGTACCTTTGGAAATTGCTTCACCTCCCAGTCTCTGTTTCCTCATCTGGAAAGCAGGGTTCCTTGCAGCTGATGCCATGAGCAAGCGCACCCAGCGGTGGCCAGGACGGAGGTGGGGCACTGGCAGGTCACAGCCGCCAGCATCGGACTGGGGGTGGCGGTCAGCAGGCAGGAGCAGGGCGCAGCCACCCGGAGGCCACTTTGGACTTTGCTCGTGGCAACCCGAGGGTGTGCAGCGCTCAGCCACCTCTCAGCATCAGTGTAGACAGTGCACTTGCAGCCAGAAGGAGAGGAATTCACACTTAAGCTGGGCAAGGTGGTGCACACCTGTAGTCCCAGTACTACGGGAGGCTGAGGCAGAGGATGGAAAGTTTGAGTACAGGCTGAGCAATTTAGGGACTTATCAAAACTGTCTCAAGAATTTTTTTAAAAATTTAGAAAGGGCCTGGGATTTAGCTCAGTGGTTCTGCCACCTGCCTCATAAGCGCAAGGTCCCGAGTTCGATCCCCGGTACCAAAAAAATTTTAAAAATTTAGAAAGGGCTGGAGACACAGCTCAGTGTGAAGACCCTGCTTTCAAGCCCCAGTACAATAAAAAATCACATTTATGGATGTACACAGGCCTTGTCATAGCAGCCATTTTGGGTCACCTTTGTGGGAACCCCATCAGTGGGGGGACATTCTTGTTCCCATTTTGTAGGTGATGAAGCTGAGGCTCAGAGCCCTCAGTTCTCAAGGCCATGTAGTACATAGATGTGAGAGTCAAGATTCAAATTCTGATCTGTCCCAATACAGAACCAGTTTTCTTTCCTGCTGGCCCAAGGACCGAGCGCTTCATGTGTACAATAAATATAAACGGGTTAGGTTTGGGCAGTGATTTTGCTCCTTCCTCTCAAACTCTCTCTGGCCTCTCCCTCTCCCTTTCCCTCCCTGTCCCCTGTCTCCCTGACTCTTACACCTTTAAGACTCAGCCATGAGGTCACCCGCAGGCCCTGTAGCTGTCACCCCTGGGCAGCACAGACCCCACCACACCCCAGGAGAACACAGCCCGCTGGGCTGACCTCCCTGTGACATTGTCTCCGCAGGGCACCCTCTTGAGAAAGCATGGCAAGGGATTAGAAAAGGTAATGAGGCCTTGAGCTGCCAAGGCCCCAAGCGTGGTGTCAGGCGTGAGTGTGTGCATATGTGTCCATTGGGCATGGGCAGGAAGGTAGATGGGCTCACGGGTAGGAGGTGGACATCCTGGCCGCATCCCACAAAAGCCAGAAGTCAGAGATGAGTGGATTCTCAGGACCAAGACAAGGAGCAAGTGTGCATGTGTGAGAAAGTGTGCACAGCTCCTGGCCTCTCCTGGCAACACCCGTGGGCTCCTCCCAGCCCTGGGCTCAGCTGGCCTTGTATCCCTCTGTGGGTACAGGCTGGGTCCCTGCGCTGGGCTGGGATGCAGTGTTTTCATGAGGACTTTCTGTCTGTTCTGAGGGGTGTTTGTCGCGAGGAGGTGGGAGCTGGGCAGCACACGTGCAGTTGCCTTGCTGTGCAGTGAGGCACGTGCAGCCCTGAGGGTGGGCTGTCCAGCTCCTTCCGCTCGCTGCCAGCCCTGGGGGCACATTCAGTGTGCCAGGCGCTCTGCCCATGTGAGCGCCTCCTAGGGGCTGAGGCTGTTACGTGTGTGGTCACGCAAGCATGCAGGTGTGTGCGTGCTCGGCATGTATTTTAGCACGTGTGTTCTGTGTTGCTCCGAGCGTGCGAGTTGCACGTGAGTGTCCCTGGGTGTGTGTGTACACACTGAGTGAACGTGCAGTGGCATCCGGACATGTTCAGGGCTGGGGAGGAGCGGTGGAGCCCTGTCTCTCGCCCTCGCTTCCGGAGGCGGGAAAGTGCCAGCTCACGCTGCTCAGTGGGGCTCCTATTGGAGGGCAGGGGCAGCCCGCTGTCCCCCCAGGCCCCAGGACGCTGACCTCCGCCTGGTTCTCTCCACAGGGCAGGGCGAAACTGCCAGGCCACTCAGACGTAAGCCCAGCCCCACTGTCTGTCTGGCCCCGAGCCACACCTCTGTGGTCTGTGCGTGGGTCCTGTCTGTCACTTCTTCCTCCTCTGTCTGTCTGGCTTGCTCGTGGGGTGGGCGGGGTGGGGCGGACACTGGACACTGAGGCCGGACAGCCGGGCTCTGGGGAAGGGAGCCTCTGAGCAACCTCGGGGAGCACGGAAATTGTGGAGAGGGCTGGGCTGAGGCTGGGCGGCTGAGCGTCGCGGGCAGGCACAAGGCCCTGGGTCCCACCCAGCGGTAAGGACAGTGACCCCGAGTCCACAGCCCCACCCGGGGCTCCGCCCCCTCAGCCAGGACCGGGGAGAGGTCCCGGGCCGGCGGGGTCACGGAGAAAGCCGAGTCTCGGGGCTCCCTCCTTCCCCCCGAGACCCGGCAGCCATCACAGGGTGAGCTGAACACAGACGAAGCCGCAGGGTGGATATGAGGCCCCATCTAGATGGGAAACAGGGAGGTTAAGTGATTTGCCCAGGGTGACACAGCCAAACTGGGATTTGAACCCAGGCCCACCGGATGGGTCAGAGCCGGAACCATGTTGGGGGAGGGGCGGGAGAGCGGGCTTCCATTTAGGGGTCAGACTAAGAGCCCCCCAAGTGAGCGAGGGTCTGGGGCCCTCTCCTGAGCCCCCACCCCTAACCCAAGCTTCTGCCCACTGCCACCCCCTCTGGGGTCCCCCCCGACAGCCCCACAGCCCGACCCACCCTCTCCTCTGTCCTGCAACCCTGGGGTCCTGGTGGGGGTGAGGGGGTGGGTAGTGTCCCCTCGCGCCTGGGGTTCCCACTTCCCAGGGGCCCCAGACCTCTGTCCCTCAGAAAGAACCACAGCCCTGCCCAGAACCTGCAGACTGAAGCCACGACGGCACTCAGGCTGCGGTGTGAGCGTGGTGAGCAACCAGGTTGGAGGCCCCTCACTGCAGCGCATCTTCTGTCGCCTGCAGGGAACCCAGATGATCTTCAATGCAGCCAAGGAGCTGGGCCAGCTCTCCAAACTCAAGGTGAGGTGGGGAGGAGCAGGAGGCGCAGGAGATCCTGGGCCGAGGGGGGTCCTGGGGGAGAGGGCCCCGGATGGTGACGTGCTCGGCAGGCTCAAAGGACAGAAACCCTACTCACGGGCTTAAGGCACAATTTGTCTGCTTCAGAGTATTGGGGAAAGGAGCCTAGTTCAGCTTCAGGTACAGTGTGATCAAGGTGTGAGTCCTTTCATCAACAAGTGTGCGACGAGCGCCCGTGTGTCCCTACAGACCACAGTCCAGCTCTTTCAATGGGGGTAACGCCCACCCGGCCCCTCTCTCCGCCCACCCAGGACCACATGGTACGAGAAGAGGCCAGAAGCCTGACCCCGAAGCAGTGTGCAGTGGTTGAACTGGCTCTGGACACCATCAAGGTAAGGGGCTCGCCCCGGACCCACGCTAACTCGCCCCATTTGTCGCACTCCCCTAACCCCTTCTGAGCCAACGAACGCTGGGCTGGACAGACAGCTAAGTAGCACCAGCAGGTACCCCAGGTCGAGCCTGGGGCAGCAGGAAGGATGGGGCTGGGCAGCAGAGGGCTTTCTGGAGGAGGGCATGCGGAAGCGAGTTTTGAGGAATGCACAGGAGTTCACCAGGCAAAGCCAAGGGCAGGGACCAGGAACGGCCGTTCCCCCGGCAGGCACTAAGTGCAAAGGCCTTGAGCAGAGGCACCCAAAGAGGAGGCTGGGAGCAGCGAGGGGGATGCTGGTAAGCAGCAGATCACTCGGGGCCTCACCTCCCCCACCCGGTGGCCGACAGCAATATTTCCACGCGGGGGGCGTGGGCCTCAAGAAGACCTTCCTGGAGAAGAGCCCGGACCTGCAGTCCCTGCGCTACGCCCTGTCGCTCTACACGCAGGCCACCGACCTGCTCATCAAGACCTTCGTGCAGACCCAGTCGGCGCAGGGTGAGCAGGCCCCGCCCCTCCCCGCGGTGTCGCACGGGCCAATGGGTGGGCGGCAGCGTGGGTGGGTGGGGCCTGACGTCCAGGGCCGGGAGGTGGTGCTTCTCTGGGGAAGTCTATGACGTCAAGGGGCAGGCGGTGATTGACAGCCTTAGGGCGGGACCTCTCTGTCACCCTGGGCAGGGAGTAAATGACAGCTCCCGGAGGTGGGAACCAGACCGCGAAGGCCTGCGAGGTGTTGCTCGTCCGCTGGCAGTCCGTGACTTCCGCGGCCAGGGAGGGGCAGGAGTGATTGACAGCTCCGGGGGTGGGCTCTCTGGGGCGTGGGAACTGTAGGGTGATTGACAGCGGTGGTGGGCGGGACCTCGGAAGTCCTGGGCCAATGATCGATTGGCAGCTCCAGGGGGCCCTTGGCCTCCCCGGGAGAGCGGGAGGGCGTCCCCGTTTGTCAAGCTCGCTCTTTCTCTCTTGTTTGCTTCTGTCTCACGTCCTGCTGAGCTCAGGCATAGCAGCCGGGCTCAGGTCCCCCTCTGGGGACCCCCGTTCCGAGCTGGCCCACGGGGCGCAAGGGGGCTCCGGCCCGGTGGAGGGGCGCCCCGAGGCTGTGCGGGGCACCCGCCCGCCTCAGATTCCCGGGCGTCCCGGAGCGGAGGCACCCCGCTGACGGTTCTCTTCTCTCTTGTTTTTCTCCCTGTCGCTGGCTGTCCCGGCCCCCGCCCCCCACGCACGCCCACCCCCCTCCCTCGCTGCCCCTCCCCGCTCCTCCCGCCCCGTTAGTCCACGGTGGCAAGGGAGCTAGGTTTACCCTTAGCGAAGACATTTATCCTGAGAAGGGTACGTGCTCGCCGCGCCCGGTGCCCGGTGCCTGCGCCCCCTGCCGGCCGCTAGTAGAAGGCCGTCCTTCCCGGCCCGCAGGGTAAAGGACGGCTTGCTGGCTCCACGTAGGGCGGGGGGCGGGAGCCCCCCAGGTGCGCGCCCTCGCTCCAGAGAGGCGCTTGGAGTTTAAGAGCTGTCCCAGACCCGGCCTGGCGGAGCAGGCCTGGCATCCCAGCACTCAGGAGGCTGAGGCGGGAGGATCCTCAAGTCAAGCCCAGCCTGGGCAACTAAGTGAATTAGTGAGGCCCTGTCTCAAAACATAAAGCACTGGGGATGCAGCTCAGTGCGGAGGCCCTGGGCTCAATCCCCAGAACTGCACAGACACACGCACACACGCACACACACAGACTCAGATCCTGGCCCAGCCATTCTGTGCGTTGGGAGCTTCGGAGCAGAATCCACCTCCCTGAGCCCTGGTGCCCTCATCTGTAGAATGGAGGCAGTCAAGGACCCTCCTTCATAGGACTCTTGAGGATCAGGCGATTTAAATTTCGAACCGCCGGTTGTAGTGGCACACGCCTGTGATCCCAGCACTGGGGAGGCTGAGGCAGGAGGATCGCTGTGAGTTCAAGGCTAGCCTGGACTACAGAGCAAGAGCTTGTCTCAAAAAACCTAAATTAATTAATTAATTAATTAATTTTTAAAAACCAAAACACTAAAGGGCCTGGATTTAGCTCAGGGGTGCCTGCCTGCCTCGCAAGCGCAAAGTCCCGAGTTCAATCCCCGGTACCAAAAAACAAACAAAAAAGTAAATAAATGAATTTGGAACAATTCCTGGCACATGGTAAACTCAAAGCCATTGTTATATTCAGTATCATGTTTTTCAGAGTAGAAAACGAGTAAGGTTTTCAGGCTCTAACTCCAAGCCAGACACAGTGCCAAGGGATTCTTGAGAGGTCTCCAAAGGATTTCTCACAGCCAGGCGCTCTGGGAGGCAGAGGCAGAGGCAGGAGGATCTCGACTTTGAGGCCAGCCTAGGGCACTTAGCGACTTGGCGAGACCCTGTCTCAAAATAAGAGACTTTAAAAGGGCTGGGGGTGTAGCTCAGGGTGTTCGACCCCCAGTACTTCAAAAGTAAAGAAAGAAATACTTTCCTGATGTGCCAGGAGGTGCCCACCATTGTACGCCCAGGGCGCCTTTTTCCTGCAGGGAGCGGGTGCGGGAGCACAGTGACCCAGGAGAGAGCCTTCCCCGTGGAGCCAGCAAACCCTGGGAGGGCGCAGCGCGGCCCTCCCCTTCTCACTAGCCTTGGCCTTGGTCTGACCTCTCACCCGACCCCTCTAACCAGCACCCGTCTGGCCCGGATTGAGCTTGCTATGAAGCATCGGCCTTGGGGGAGGGCAGGCTGAGCATGCGACGGTGGGCGGGGCCTGAGGTGACCAGGAAGGCAGCCTGGGGTGGACGGCCGGGGCCCAGGCCCGGTCGGGGGGATGGGGTCTCGCTCCCTCTGCTCCGGACCCTCGGCTCGCCCAAAGGCCGTCGCCCGGTAACCCAGCCCCGCCCATGACCGCCCGGACCCCCTCCAACTCGCCCGTTCCCTCCCCTGCATGGGGTGTTCCAGGAGTGGGGTGCTGCCTGGGGCTGGGGAGGGCTCATGGCAGTGCTGGTGGCCACGGGTCCACAGTCCCCAACAGGACCACTCAGGACACTTAATGGTGGCCAGAAAGAGAAGTGAAAATCACCGTGACTCAAGCCGACAGGGAAATCTGTGGGCTGTGAAACCAAAAAGGTCCGGGATGGATTGGCCTCAGGAGGAGCTGAATCCGGAGCCTCCGAACCAGGCCACCTTGCTTTGTCTCCATTGGTTATTGGTCTCCATGAAAACCCTTGTGGTGGGCTCGCTACTCATTGGGCCTGCCCCACTTAGTGGAGACGCACTTCCTTAAATTACAGCCAAGTCCAGGCCCAATGCCTATTGGCCCAGCTTGGGTCACATGACCGCTTCTGAGCCAATTCCTGCCGTCGTGGGCAGGGTCTGCACTTGATTGGGCGCTGTAGTTTCTTTAGCCCATGAACTCAGCCACAGAACCCAGGCAGTCAGGAGGTCTGAGGTGAGGGTAGGGATCTGTATCAGAAGTGGAATCGAGGCAAGAAAAACAAGATTCTCAAGCTGTCACCTCAGGAGGATGAGGATTCTGGGTCCCATGAGCACTGTGTTAAAGGAGCTACGAGGAGGCTCATGGGGTTGAGGAAGCTGGATTGGAGAGTGAGAAAAAGGCAGATGCGGGCCGGGGATTTAGCTCAGTGGTTCCGCCGCCTGCCTTGCAAGCGGGAAGTCCCTAGTTCGATCCCCGGTACCAAAAAAAAAAAAGGCAGATGCATTAGGCTCAGAGAGGTTAAGATGTCTGCTTGAGGTCACACAGAAAAGCAGTAACAAGCCAGGACCCAGGGTTCCTGGCTTCCCAGGAACTCCCAGCATCCCAGCCCCACTCAGCACCTCCCTGTCGGGGCTGGTGACCTGGTGCCGCTAGCACGTGGTGGGAGGGAGGTGCCCAGGGCCCTCCTGGCTGGGGAAAGAACAGCGCACATCGGGCCGTCTCTCCCGCCCACCCAGGCTCGGGTGTAGAAGACCCCGTGGGCGAAGTCTCTGTCCACGTTGAGCTCTTCACTCACCCAGGAACCGGGGAACAAAAGGTCACAGTGAAAGGTGAGTGTTCTGAGCTGGTGGGGCGTCACCGTGTCCTAAGACAAAACCACACTCGACCTCATCACCCAGAAGGATAATCTGGTTGTTTCCGGTTTTTGCTTTTTAATGGTTCACAAAGCTGGGAAGACCAGAAATGAGCACACTTCAGGCATGGCTGGATCCGGGGAATTTGTTTTTGCATCTGAGCCGCTGCCGTTTTCTGTTGTGCTTTTGCCCTTAACGTGTTTTCCTTCCTGTTGAGCCGCACAGAGCACTGCAGCCCGCAGCAGGAAGGTGGAAGTTTGAGGCTTGTTCCCTTCCTTTTAGGCCACGCCCCCCAGAAATTGTGTACATCACTTCCTCTCATATCTCATTGGCTGAAAGTTAGTCACATGACCAAACTTAGGTGGACATGCTGGGAAGTATAGTCCATTTCAGACCAGGTCAAAAAACTACAGATGGCCTAGCGTGGTGGCACGTGCCTGCAATCCCAGCCCTCAGGAGGCTGAGGCAGGGAGATTTCTGTGAGTCTGAGGCTAGCCATGTATGGCAAGACCCTGTCTCAAAAACAAAAACCACAGAGGACTGCTTCTGTCATGCGGGGCTGACCAGCCTTCCCTCCACTTCCCACGACAGTGGTGGCTGCCAATGACCTCAAGTGGCAGACCTCAGGCATCTTCCGACCATTCATCGAGGTCAACATCATCGGGCCCCAGCTCAGCGACAAGAAACGCAAGTTTGCCACCAAATCCAAGAACAACAGCTGGGCGCCCAAGTACAACGAGAGCTTTCAGTTGTGAGTCGGGGATGCCTGGGCGGTGCCTGGGGAGAAGGGGACGTCTGCCAGGTGGACCCCAGGGCCGGCCAGCCACGCGAGGCGGCTGATGGTACCCCAGCTCCGGAGTGGCGGGAGCCAGGTCCTAGGTGTGGGCGCCGTAAGGGAACGGGGCTCAGCGCAGGAGGGAGGTCCCTTCCGGGCCAGGCGGCCCCAGGGAAGTGGCAGGGGCGTTGTTGGGTGGGTGCAGCCCAGCTTGGGGGTCAGAGTGGGCGTGACAAGGCCTGGGTTGGAGGGTGAGTCTCCGGGGCTCGGGCGGGGCGGAGCCTAGTGTAGATAAGCGGTCAGACAGGGGGCGTGGCTCGGTGGGGGGGGACTCGGTGGGCGGGGGCTGCTCACGCCCCGCCCCTCCCCAGCACGCTGAGCGCCGACGCGGGCCCCGAGTGCTACGAGCTGCAGGTGTGCGTCAAGGATTACTGCTTTGCGCGGGAGGACCGCACGGTGGGGCTGGCCGTGCTGCAGCTGCGCGAGCTGGTCCAGCGCGGGAGCGCCGCCTGCTGGCTACCTCTCGGCCGCCGCATCCACATGGACGACACCGGCCTCACAGTGCTGCGCATCCTCTCGCAGCGCAGCAATGACGAGGTGGCCAAGGAGTTCGTCAAGCTCAAGTCCGACACGCGGTCGGCTGAGGAAGGCGGCTCTACGCCTGCGCAGTAGCGCGGGGGAGAGAGAGAAAGCCGGGCGGGTGGCACTGCGCCTGCGCGCAGTAGGGTGGGGCTCGCTGAGAGGGAACTGCGCCTGCGCCCTGGACATGTCTCCGTCCTCCAGGGACTTGAGCGGCGGATGCCCTGCCCTGTAAGAGCCCATCCAGGACGTTGAAGGAAGAAGCCACACCCCTCCCCGAGGCCACGCCCCCACCCAAGGGGCCTTTCGCGGGGACGCGGCTGGCCACCTCCTGTCCCCTGGAAAAGCCATAGCCGGGGCCCAGCCCGCCTGAGACCATTGCCAAGCACGCAGCCTCAGCCCCGCGCGGCGGCGGGGTGAGCAGGGCTTCCCGACCGAGGTGGCGGGGGCTGATGTGCAGAAAACGAGGGCAGGGGAGTTCAAAAGCACACGCGCCCTTGGGCGCCAAGCCCTGGGCCCGGCGGGCACTGGGGCTGCGCACGGCCTCTGTGCCCCGACACCCCAGCCTGCCCGTGGCAGGGGCGCCAACCCTGCGGCCCATTTTCCCAGTGCCGTGATCCCACCGCGTCCCAAGGCCCAAGCCCGCACTAGGCCCCGCTGCTGCTAACGGCAGGCCCGACCAGGCCATACCCACCGTCCCCTCTGCCAAGCAAGACCCTCCTCCACCTTCCTCCCAGACCTCACGCGAAGAGTGAGGATTGGGGTCCCCATCCTCCCCATCGCCGCTTCCTCTCCCAGAACTGAGCAGCCAGGAAAGAACAGGAAGAGCCCGGAAACTAGGTGTGCGCGCGGGAGCGTGATGCGTTCAGAGCCAGGCCCCGGAATCTCCCCCACTCATCCCCACGCTGGCCGCAGGACTCTGGCTTCAGGGCCCCGGGTGGGAGGCTCTTCCTCCCGAGACAGTTGGGGTAACCTACGGAAGGTGGCCTCAGTCAGCGCGGTCTCTACACACCTGCTGCTGCACCTGGACCCCAAGTGAGGCCGGCAGGGGAGGACTGAACAGACCAGAGAGTCGCTGGACCTCAGGCGGGGCGGGGTTCCGGAGGTGGATATTCAGTCGTGGCTGGAGGCCGCTCACTGCAAAAGACCCTCCCTCTGCCCCTCAGGACTTGCCCCCCTCCTGTCCCCTCCAGTCCAACCCTGATGCTGTCAGACTGGGAGAGCTGAAGTCTGCTTTCTGCAGGACTGGGGCCACCCCTCTCCGGGTGGCAGGGAGGTTGTGCGGGCCGGAAGAGACCTGAGCATGCAGGACAGGAGACAGAGCCCAGGAATGCCGCGGGTGCAAAGGCTCCAGGGCGGGAGGCCAGGGAGGAGACCTCTCTTCTGCTGTCCCACAACCAGGCCAGGCGGTGCCCACCCCACCCAGGCCCTGCCCAAGACCCAGTCTGCTCCCCATCAGACACGCAAAAAATCTCGACCCCGACGCGCAACCCTTGGGGCCACTGGGCTGGGCTCTGAGTCACCGCGCGCCCCTCGTGTCCATCCTGCCGAACCGGGCGAGGGTCGCAGCCTTTCCTAAGAATCGTTAAGGACCAAAGTCGTCTTCGCTGACAGCTGTTCCTTTTCTCTTCGCCTTTTCTTTTTTAAAGAGAGAAATCAAACTGACAGTGTCAAGCAGACCCTCCCCGCGGCTCGACACAGGGCACAGGTGGCTGGCGATGCCCGCCCAGCCCCGCCCCGCTCGCCAGGCCCCGGCCCTGCCGGCTGCCGTCCCCGCATGTGATTGCCAACGTGAAGCCCAGTCGTCGTCTGGTTTCTGTTCCCTTCTGTTCTCCTTTTCTACCCCCGCGCCATCGGTCAGTGCCCCGTCCGAAGAGGCGTGCTCATTTCCCTGTAAATACGTGACTTGGGACACAAGTTCAAAGCAAACGACAAGTGCTCATGAATGCATGGTGTTGAGATGTTTTGCACTACTCTGACTTTTTGGTCTCTGTAAAAATATTTTATTAACAGCAGACATTAAAAAAGAAAAAGCACACGGCCCCGGGTGCATGGTGACCTTTGAGCGTCTCCAAAACCTCAGTGGGGCTCTGGCCGCTCCTGGCCCCGGGGTGCAGTAGTTGGGCCCTGGGTGAGGCCCCGAAGTCACCTCCGGTCACATCATCAGGCTGCAGGAGGGCCACTCCAGGCGGAACTTGCTGTGACGCGGGGCAGTCCCGGGGAATACACGGCAGGATAGCTCACAGAAACAGGTGCTGGGTGCTGGCCCAACCCGCCCCTTGCACTTGAGGCTGCAAAGCCCAGCGGGGTCCTAGGGCCTCCTGCCCCTGGGGACCGCCCGCCCCTCGGAGCCTCGCAGGAGTTCGGAAGGCGCTAGGGATGGACGGAGTCCTCCTGTCCTGGCTTTCTGTCCCGGTCGCTATGCCAGCAGGCAGGGGTGGAAATGGCTCGTATTTCAGGCTCGGCACCTGAGGCTGGTGGGCTCTGAAAGGCGGCTTCTGTGAATGTCCAGCCCTCTCCTGTAGGATCTGGCTTGGTCCTGCTCCCTGCACCAGGCACCAGCAATTTGTGGCCCCTTAGAAGAACAAGAGAAAGACCAGCCAGATGAGGTGGTGGTGCACACCTGGAATCCCAGCACTCTGGGAGGCTGAGGCAGGAGGATCGCAAGTTCAAGGCCAACTGGGCAATTTAGACTTAGACTCTGTCTGGAAATAAAGAATTTTCAAAAGGGCTGGGGGTGCAGCTCATCAGGAAGGCCCTGGACTCAGTACTGGGGGAAAAAAAGACAAGAGTTGCATAACTGGATAGGCACACTCTGAATAAAATTCAACCTCCGGACTTCACCCTCTTTTGTCTAGGCAGAGGCTGAGTGGTTGTTGCTGTTTTGTTTATCTCTGGTGCCAGGGATGGAATCCAGGGCGCCGTCCATCCCAGACAGGGCTCACTGCCGAGCCACATCCAGCCGTAGCGTTTGCAGTCAGCCTTTCACACCTGCAACTTCCACACCCACGGATCCAACCGGCTTCCAGAGGAAAACAACCACTAGAGGAAAACTTGAGCCTGAGGAACAGTGGGGCTTTCTTCAGTTACTCAGTGTCATTGTGCCTTTCGTGTGCGCGTGCACACACACACACACACACACACACACCCCCGCGGCTGCCTGCTTGAGGGGTACAGCAAAGGATAAAAGACAAAGACAATTCTCCAGTTAAGTGGGAGCTGGGAGGTCAGTGCCTCTTGTCGGGCAAGACACAGACTCCCCAAGCCTACCACTACTTATTGAGTACACACAAGCAATCGGGGTGGTGGATGCCCTGGGCTACGAAAAGAACAAAGCATTTTTGTAAGGGTTGAATGTAAGTCAGCAGGGAGCCTGATTTTTCTCCCAAACTGGGACTTCGACCTGTTCTGCATTGTTCTGAAGAGTCAGGTCCCAGGCAGATGTTATCTTGCCCTGTGAGCTTAGGACTTTGTGGGTCTTCCCACCGTGACCAGGAGAAAGGAGTGTCCGCTTACCAACCGGCCCACAAGGCAAAGGATGGCCTCAAGCTCCCCTAGTCTCAGTTCACAGACTGTGGCCCCAACCGTTTCCCCTTTCTGTTTATTTGATTCCAGTAGTTGGATCGGGTTGAGCTTCAGTTACAGGCCCTCTAGGCCTGGGTTGGTTTGAATTTCTCTGTGGCAGACTAGAACTAAGACCAGAAGACATAAGCAAATTATTACAAGTATGCTAATATAAAACCAGAAGTAAGCTGGGCATGGTGGCACCGCCTGAAATCCCAGCACTTGGGAGGCTGAGGCAGGAGGATCACCATGAGTTCAACGCCTGGGCTACATAGTGAGACCCTGTCTCAAGAGAGAAAGGAAGGAGGGAAGGAAGAAAGAGAGAGGGGGTGAGCCTTGAGGCAGGTGAAGGGATTAAATTGATCAAGGGCCTTTGAATATTTGTCCCAGTTTTGAATTTGTTCATCAAGTTTTGAGTTTGTGGAGACATAGATAAAACTTTCTTTTGAACAGTGTCTAGGTCCAAGGTTATATTTCTATGCATTGCTCCTTGGATATGTTTTTTAATGTGCTCGCAAAGATGAGCAGATTGATTATAAATAAGATAAAGAAGGGCCGGGGATTGAGCTCAGTGGTTCCGATGCCTGATGCTCAAGTGCAAGGACCTGAGTTCAATCCCTGGTACTAAAGAAAAAGATAAAGGAGGTGCACAGAATCGAGTAATATTAAGTGACAGTCGAGGCCTTGTTTAACTGTAAGCTCTGGATTCAATCCCCATGAATAGTAGTCTCTAGGGCACCAATTTGAGATTGTAGCTCTGTACCTATTGCATGCTGTATTTTCCAGGCCTCATCAGCAACTTTTGACCAGTTATCTATAAAGTGTGCTGTCTGGACAGAATGGGTGAGAGCAACAGAAGAAGCCCCACTCGAGATCAGCCACACTGAAGAAACTATCCCTGTAACATTCAGTCCTATCATTCTTGTAGCTCTCTGTATAAGGTGATCAACCAGGGACTGTAAAAGATATCTTGCCGGAGTATGGGACCAAAGTTCTGCTAAATTTACTGGCATCCATACCCCAGGCATGCATCCCAGGATTACTGAGTTCTTCCTAAAGACATCCCCAGTCTTAATACAGTGCTAAGGGAGGTTTTATTCCACTCTACAGCTCCATAGAGAAAGACATAAGGGTTGCAAATACATAAAATTGTGCTAGTGCTATTTTGTCTAACAAGCAGGGCAGTAGTGCCTGGGGCAGGGTTTATATCATAACCTGTCCATTTTTCTCCAACAAAGAAAGATGAGGCAAGTTTCCAAACAGTCTGTCACATAGGTCCGGGTTTGCCATCGCTCACAGCCTGTGTATGGGGCCTAATCCTGCACCTCCCTGTGAGCGGCTTCAGGGAGGCCTGCCGGCTGATGCCCTCCCATAAGGCACCATGCTACTCTTCTGAGGAGCGCTATTACCCCTTCCTCACAGGGTCCCCTGCGGAACCCAATCAGTAAATTCCTTTCGTCCCATAATCATCCTTTGTCCCTTTTTCCTTTATAGATACCAGTGGGGGCACCTTCTGCATAGTTTTCCCAAATCGTACAAACTTTACAGAGAGGAACATCAGAAACAAAAGAAGTAATCCTTCTGTCTGACGCATTACTAGAGCCAAGGCCTGAAAGAACTGGTTGTTGGTGATCATGTGCTGTCCACTATTGGGGCTAGCAGTAACTGGACTGGACTGCCCTATGGTCCACACATAATGGGGGTAGGTGAAAGTGGGAGGTGTAATTTATAACAGCCTTGTCCTGCATACCCACTAGAGATAAGGGCCAGGCACCCAGTCTGCTGGGTCAGGGTAGACTCTCGACTGAGGGGAAGTTTTGGGTGCGTGATCTGCCCAAGTGAAGGGCTGAGTAAGAGCAGCTTTAGCACCGATGCCCAGTACTCTCCCACCCACCCACCGCTGGAGCTGTACATAGAGATGCTGTAATAGCGTCGCACGGGTGAGCATATTGTCAGGAGTTGGCAGGAGGCCCTGTGCCACCAGCGTCTTGGCCTCCTGAGTTGCCATCTTCACTCATGCCCATGTCATGGGCTGTGCTGTCTGTGTGGATCGCAGTGCCTGCGGTGCTGGCTCCTCCTGCAGGGTTGTCTGGGAGAACACTTTTACCGGTGGGCTGGCTGATGGCAGGTACGCACTGGTCTCAGGTCTCTCTCTCCAGGGTCACAGGTTTCTAGATGGCAACCACACTGGGCCCATCACCTGTTAGCACACAGGTGTATTCTCGTCCCCTGCTAGTAGTGGTGAGGGGCCTTCCCGGGAACCTGAGGATCTTTCTATAAAACCTGAGCATCAGAAGAGCTAGAATCAGAAGCAGTTTGCCAGTGAATTTCAGCAGGAGTACACTTGCTCTGTGCATGGGTTCAAAAAATTAAAAATTTAAAGTGAAAGTAGCAGGATCTAGGTGGGCTGGTGGAGGTAACTGTATTCCCTGTTTTGGTTTATTTGGTTGAGTCTTGGGGGATAAATGTGCCCTTTCTACAATTGCCTGTCCTTGAGGGTTGTGAGGAATGCCTGTAAGATGTTTAATACGCCACAGCTGAAACAGGGAAGGCGAGGCTCTGCTGCCATGAGGGACCCTTGTCAGCTTTAACTGTAGGAGGAACCCCACTGCTGCAAATGCTGATCAACAATGTTGCTGCGCACGTCCAGTCTGTTCTCCTGTGTGGCAAGTGGCATGAATCGTATGAGAATAGGTGTCTGTTGAAACATGAGAGAATGTGTGTAACATCTAGGTGCCAAATTTCATTCCATTTAAGTCCCCTGGGGTTGCTTCCTTTGAGGGGAGAGGTGGAGGGGTTTTTGGCAAGTGGGACAGAACAATCTTTCTAGCTTGTGACCAAGACAACTGAAACTCTTTTGTTAGTGTCAGGTAAAAGGGCTGAAGGCCAAGACCAGACCAGGCCACAGCAAGCCTTTATTAGGGGAATAGATCTGCCGGGCTGTCTCTGAACAAAGGAGAGACAAAAGCAATATGGCCGGGGCAGGGAGAGTCTTTTATAGAGACTGGGGTGGGGTTTGTAGGGGCAGAGGTGGGGTTGAGTGAGGTAGTGACTAGGGAATGGAGGAGCCGGTGATGTCACTAGGTGGTAGGAGGTGAGCGAGTATTAGGCTACTTTCTAGGCAGGAACAGGGGCATGCTGGGAAGAAGGGTTTATTCTTTGTTGGGAGCAATCATCTTGGCATGATGTCACACAGGGGAGGGGGCAAGGCACCATAGGAAGAGGGCAGCTACTATACATAATAGTTGCTGAGGTGGTGGGAGACCTATCAGTTAAAGACTTACTATTTGGGTGGTGGTAAGCATGTGATTGCCATGCTAAGTCAAAAGGAGTAACATAAGCTGAGGATCAGCCTGTTGGTTGCCATAGCTGAAGGTCCTGGCAGATGGGAGCGTGCTCCGGGATGTAAAAGGGGCAGCACGGTTACGGATAGCATGCTGCAGTCTTAGAAAGAGACTCAATAAGGGAGGAACTAAT